TCAGTAAAGGAAGAAAAACAACCAAAGTCTGAGATAGGATGGATGACTTTGGAAAGTGAGACATATTCTCTGTCTCCAGAGTAGCAACAGACTCCTAAGGGAAGTGTCTTAAATGTTATAAACTCTGTAGCAGTCATGGCCCTTGCTGAACTGAGAGGCACTTCTCAGGTAGCGTAAAAGTGAAGCACTTACGTATTCTTTTCTGTAGTTCTTATTTTAGTACTTGAGCATTAGCGCGAATCAGAGTTCAGATATCCAAAATGCTATGAACAAAGGAGAGTCCCTTACTCTAACAGAGAAGACAGCAAAAAAGAAAGAGAAGGTTAGTATGAGAGAGAATAAATCTCTTAGAAGCAGTGCTGTAGTGTTGAAGAAGATGAGACAATTTGTAACTAAGTGCCCTGATGGGATGAAGGACTTCTCTCCCAGGGTTTGTCTCTGCACGTAGCACTGCTAAAATGGGCTTTGTTCAATGTACAAGAGCCAATATTGCGTACAAATATACAGCATCTTTTAAATGGGTAAAGTTTGGTGTCAAATCGTGTTTCAAATTATTAGATCCACAAACAAACTTCATAGCTTCCAAAAGAAAATTTCATCTTCATGGGAGTTGTTTCTTACGAGATAAGGCATAGGGATTTGTGGAAAGACTGGAGCATTGTCCTCTTTACCCTGTAATAATAGGTGTTGTGTTTGCTTATGTTTTTGATTTTTTCCTGTAGAATTGTAATTTCAGATTAGTTTGAAATCATTAGGCAATGGTGGAGATTAGAGATTACTAGATATCTTTCTTTAAGCAAACCCGATTTTCCTATTCTGGTACCTCTTGTGTAATGAATAATATAGGATGAGGGGAATTCTGGGTTCCTATCTGTTCTATGGGTATAGTGTCATGATTGAGAATTATGCCTTATAAGAAGATATGTTTAGTACATTTTGAACTTGCTTAGAACAAATGTAGAATTCATAAATTAAATTTATAAAGTTAAAATTAATCAGAAGGTAATCTTCAATGTCTCTGTGATCATCTTCTCAATTTGTAGAGGGATAGATGAAGCGTACTGCTCTTTGTAAGCGCTGCATGCATGGTATTCCTTTAATCATGCTACCAAATGTCTTTCATATTGCAGCCACTACAATGGTCATGATCTTACATGAGTTCTTAGATGCACATATATTGTCCATCGATGACCTCATGCATATTTCCAGAAGCAGTTTAACCCAGTCTAGTGATTCAGTGTAACTTTGCTTTGTTTCTGTCATCACTGAGGCAATACTAAGATACTACATCTCTCTGTGGTTCATTTACCTCAACTATAAAACTGAATATTACTAGTTATCTAGTAAATAACTGAAGTATGTTAAGTAGTTTTGAATAATTCTTATTCTGCTTCTACATATAATCCATTATAAAACTTTTAGGTTTGCTCAAATTATTACAATGCTAAAATGTTTTGGTATGGGTATGTGATGTACTTATCAAATGAATATGGCAAAATGTATTCATCAAGTTCAACAGGTTTGACACACACCTAATTACACTTTTCACACCATTAGTGCTATGCAGTATAGAGAAGATCACAAATTAATTCAAAATGTTTATTCATAGGCAGTTTTTCTTTCCTACACGCCTACATTTTCATTAGCATATTTCATTTGTTGTTGTTCTGTTTTATCGTGTGTGTGTATGTGTGTGTGTTCAGTTTTAATCTAGCGCCACAAATATGGGTCATCTCTACTCTTTCTAAAGCTCTGGATTATTTAAGAGATAAACAGCTAGATAGAGTATTTCCTTCGCCTAAAAATCTGTTTTAAAAACCGGGAAACATAGAGAAAATTTACTGTGGAAACTTCTGGTTCTTGCCAGACACTACTCCACTTCAGTTGTGCTGGCCTCAGTGAGTGACACAAAGTGGGGTGTTTAGCACCCACTTTTGCTAGAACCCTAATTCCTAGAACCCTAATTCCTAGTGGTGAGGTAGTATGCTCCCAATGCTTGGATATATTTCCTTGAAAAGATTGGAATGAAAACAAAGTGAAAGATCTATTACTGTGTCACTTCCCCTGTTTTTTACTGGTAGAGATTGCAGTGCATAATGTTTCCCTTCCTGTGGGGAGCTGGTGTGGGCACGTAACATGTCTTGGCTCCTTTTTGATCTTCTTCCCCTGATCCCCTGATCCCCCCTCTCTCTCCCTTGATCCCTTTCTCATTTGAAAAGTTCTCTCTCCCTCCTTTGCAATATTGTTTACTTTGCTCTTCAAGGATACTTTGGGTTTCTCATGAAGATAAACTATGTGATAGTAAAGTTTCTGTGCCTGGTTTATGTCACTTAGCATTGTGGTCTCAAGGCATATCCATCATCCTACAAATGACTCATGTTTATCTTCACATGACAGAAGGCAGAGTGGAGATAAGGTGACTAAGTGATTTATCTTTAGCTCCCTAACAATGGTAAGAAATTAGGATGACAATACAGAGTTTTTTTGGGTTGGTCTCTGTTGATCTCAAGTACAAACCATGCAAACACATATACACATGCATGTGCGCAGGCGCACGCATGCACACACACACACCACACACACACTTTAAAACTATAAGCTGTTTTTTTAAAATAAGGTCTATAGAACTCTCTGGGTTTTTAGAATTATTAGAATCAGTAGAATAAGCACAAAGGTGGTGAAAATAATTAGGAAAGAAAAATACAAGTCAAGATGAGTGAAAATTTACATTTAAAATATAATGACTGTAATAAGTATAATTTTGGGTTTTTCTACTATTATTATTTTAAAGGGAATAAAATTTAATAGGTAAGAAATTAGAAATGATACAGAATGTCAAAACAAAAAAAAGATGACAGGAATTCAACAATGGTTGCTATATTGATTGGATATTGTTTTCTTCAAAGTAGCTTCTCAGATTACCAGATATAAGCATGTAAGATTGGTCAAAATAAACTGCAAGCATTAACTGCTCCCTTCAAAAAACCAATAGAAATCAGTGGTACAATTATCCTAGCTACCCTGTGTAGATGTATATGTGTTTTTACCCTTTCTTCTTTACTTTTCTCCTTTCCCTCATCCAAATTGTTCCTTCCTTTTCAGTCGTTTCTTTCCTTTTTATTATACTTATGGTAAGTCTCAGATTTTATTTACTCTTTCAGGTTCTTCCACTAGGGAGACAATAGGATGTTTACACATACAGGTCTAATTTATTGCACTTATTAGTATAGCTTCTGGTTGCATCGATTTACTTATAAAAGCCTTGAGTTCATCTTGGAAAGAGTATAATTTTGCATAGGAGAAAAATGTAAGTCACAGATTTCATTTTATATTGCAATAGATTAATATTTACCTATATATTTAAAATGAAACATCTATATTTTAAGTGGAACAAGCAAAACTTCAAGTCAATATATAATTTATAATATGCTGAAGATAAAGACATTTAAGTTAGGAGCATAAATAATTTAGGGAAACAATTGGTGAAGCTTTATTTTGCTTATGTATCTATCCTTTATTTAAATAATAAGGAAAATTTTACTTAAGATAGTTTCTTACTTTTTAAGTCCTACAGATAAAAAGACATTTTTTCTTCATAAAATCAAGGTAAAATCTAGTTTAGACTTAGAGGAATGCTGCAAACTATATTTTAACCAATATTTTCAGGATTATTCTGCACAACTGTAGCTATTAATATATTTTATTCCTTGTGATTAGATTGGAAGCTTGGAGGACTACAAACTCATTGCTCCATCATGTCATTTGCCAATGGCACCTACTTCAAGCCCTCGGTCTTCACACTTACTGGGATTCCAGGCCTTGAAACAGTGCAACATTGGATTGGAATCCCCTTCTTCGTCTCTTTCATCCTGGCCACCTTTGGCAATAGCCTCCTCATCACCATCATCCACTCTGAGCGCAGCCTCCACGAGCCCATGTATGTCTTCTTAGCTATTTTGGCTGCTACCGATCTGGGCCTGACCCTATGCATTACCCCCAAAATGCTGGCCATCTTTTGGCTTCAATCAAGGGAGATCCACTTTGACTCCTGCCTTACCCAGATGTATTTCATTCACACTTTCCAGTGCATGGAGTCTGGTATTCTCTTGGCTATGGCCTTTGATCGATATGTGGCTATTTGTGAGCCCCTGAGGCATTCTGCTATTCTCACTAGGAAGGTGCTAATCAGCATCGTCATGGCAGTGACCATTCGGGCATCTATCATTGTCATCATGTGTCCTCTTTTAATTAAATTGCGCCTGAAGCACTTTCAGACCACATTCATCGCTCATTCCTACTGCGAGCATATGGCTGTGGTCAAGCTGGCTGCTGGAAACATCAGTGCCAATAAAGCATATGGACTATTTGTGGCTTTCTCAGTCCTCGGATTTGATGTCATCTTCATTTTTTTGTCCTACGCCTTTATCTTCCAGGCTGTCTTTAAATTGCCACAGAAGGAAGCCCGCTTCAAAGCATTCAACACGTGCACAGCGCACATCTTCGTCTTTCTGCAGTTCTACATTCTCACATTTTTTACATCCTTCATTCACAGATTTGGCTTCAACGTGGCTCCTTATGTACACATTCTCCTGTCCAACCTCTACCTCCTGCTTCCACCCTTGCTTAATCCTATTGTCTACGGAGTGAAAACCAAGCAGATTCGAGAGGGAGTCATCAGGATGTTCATCCGCAAAGGTTAAATTGCAAAGTGCCCCTGGATGACAGTCCTAGCAATGCTCGTTACGTAAAGTGGTTCTGTGATAATCTTTGCACTATTACAGCATTCACAGGATAGATATGATTTTATAAATAAGATTACAAGTAATTAATTTCGCATTTCAGATAAGATGTCAGCTATTTCGCTCAAAGCTGACAGTGCTTTCTATTAAAATCTCTTTTAATTTTTATTTTATATTTCCTGTCCTTTTTCCTTGGTAAGATCAATTTTATACAATGTTACTCTAATGTTTATACCCTTTACGGATATTACTAGTTCAAGGTATTCTTATATTGTTACAGCTGGACTCCTAGATGCATCATGGAATATTTATATTTTGATTATTAGTAAATTCTAAATTTCTAAGGAATCATTAACTGTTAAACATGTGTGCATAACATGATAGTTAAAGATTAATTTTTTTTCTTCTGTCCTTTTTTCTTTTTTCATCTCTTTCTCCCTTGTTGACTCCTCAAGCTTGACAGCTCATTAATGTTGTTTCGTTTTGTTTTTGGCTGGCTCAGCCCACCAAGGGGACGGGGCTGGCGTGGCATGTGGTGCAGGGGATCGAACTGTGGTCCTTGCACTTGCCTAAGCTTGCCTAAGCAGGCACTTTATACCACTGCACTATCTTGCCGAGCCTCAATCATCTTTATGTAATGTTTGCCTTTCTTTTTCTCAGTGAAATTCTGAAGAAAGTACAACAATCATGCATTTTCGTTGTATACTGCTGTCTAAATCTATGAATATGAAAGGAAGGCCTATTGTCCATGCATCACTGAAATTGTACGTCTAATTTATTATAACAAATAATTATAATAGCTAATTATATAATAAAAGTTAATTATTCTATTGTCTGATGTATTTCACAATGCCTTCAACATTGATTATGCTAATGTATAATGTGCACATTATAAGGATTTCTAATAAAATTTTTAAAAACTCAACTTTCCCATATTGATTGAATACAGTAAACATTTTTTGAGTAACATTAGGATTTAAAATCATCAAACTGCAGTCTCAGAATGCACATTATATGTGCAGCATCATTTCTATGGGCCATATATTAATGTTGTTTTTCTACCTGTCTTTTTAAAAAATTAGAATACAGAACAGTAATAAAAACAGCATTAAACATGATATTAAATTTCACTAAACAAAGTAATAGGAATTAAACAATGGTTGTTGTATTGCATGGTGTTATCTTCAAATTAGTTGTTCAGGTTACCAGATATAAACATGTAAAATTGGTTTAAGACAAAACAAAGTAAAATAACAAAAGAGTTATAAGAGATTAAAAAGTGAGAAAAAAGAAAAAGAATTAAGCATTAACTGCTCCTTTCAAAGACCAGCAGAAATTGGCAGTACAATTATCCAAATAATCCTGCATATACACCTAAATGTTTCTTTTTTCCTTCTTCTTTTCTTGACATTTTCCTCATTCCAATTTTTTCTTCCCATTGAACAAATTCTTTCCCTTTCACAGTATCTATTGTACCTTTCAGATTTTATTTACTCTTTCAGGTTCTCATACTAGTGAGACAATGCGATGTTTGCACATGAGGATCTGATTTATTTCACTTAGCAATACACACTCTAGTTACATTCATTTATTTACAAAAGCCTCAAATTTACCTCTTTTATAACTGAATAATATTTGTATAAACTTCCTTTTATTCTATTGTATTTTATTTTGAACAGTAAAAACAAAAGCAAAGACAAATAGCAGAAATGAAGATAGAAACAGGATAAGATACAACACATATGTTATAGATTTTCAAAACAAGAATATCAAATTAACAATGGTTGTTATAGTACCTACTCTTATCATCCAATTTGTTTCTCAGAGTAACAGATACAGCTATGAAGTTTTGGACAAAAAATTTAATATTAATGCTTGCATTCACTAAACCTTATTTTTTCTTGACATTTTACCCTTGTATTTAAATTTATTTTCTAAAGAGTATAATAATAATAAATAAGCTATTAGAAATAGGATAGATTTTGAAGACCAAGATGAGAGGTATTCAGTCATGGTTTTTGTATTACATATTGTTGACCTCAATGTAATTGCTTACATCACAAATATCAGCATACAGAGAGAGTAAAAATGAAAATTATAAACATTGACTGCTGTTTTCTAAAAACTGATAGGAATTTTTAGTACAAATATCACATCTATCCTATACATATACTTGCAAGAATTTCCCCTCCTTTTTTTCCTGTATTTTCTCCTGTCCCTCATGTTCAATGTTTAATACTTATGTTCTCTTTCTTTCCATTTTGCTATAGCTATTATACATCTCAGGTTTTAATTCTTTCAGGTTCTTACACTAAGTTGTTGATATGTACATGTGTAGTTCTAATTTATTTCACTTATAAGTATATCCTTCAGTTTTATCCTCTTACCTATAAAGGCCTGAGGTTTGTCCTTCTTAATAGCTGAGGAATACTCCATTGTACAAAAATACCACATCTCAAAAAAAAAAAAAAAAAAAGAACACCACATCTCTTTTATCCACTCCTTAGGTGAGGGGCACTTGAACTGTTTCCAAGATTTGGATATGAGAAATTATGCTGATATAAACATGTGTGGG